CCCCACTCCACAGAGGGAAGCAACCAGGACTAGAAGCTAAGTGCTCTTCCCAGGTCCTCTCATCAGTACCAGGGGTCCTCCTATGATCAGGCAACTCTTAAAATCTTCACTCTTGTGCACTGCAAGTGCTATCAACCAACTGCTTCAAGGAGGGTCTTAATTTCATCTCTCTCAACCAAGCACGGGCGAATGCAGCACATCGCTGGGAAGGGGAGAAGGAATAAAACTGGCTCTTGAGCACATGAAACTAAAATAAAGAAGGCAGAAGCAGCCACTACTTTTATTTTCACTGGGTTAATCCCACATAACTGATCACACACACACAAGAAAAAAGAAAAACCTGCACAAGGACTTCAGAAGGAAAAAAAAAAATCATCCCTAACACTACTGATTAGTTTTTAAATTGGACTTGAGTAAGTCTCCTTACATTTGTTATGTCACAGCAAGCATTCTCTCCAATTTTATAACAAGAAATTATACACAAGCTAACGCTTCCTCTACTTAACAGATATATTTGCACTGATGGGCAGCCAGAAGTCATCAAAGGAGACTGATAAACTGTGATCAACCAGCTCTGTGAAAGCTCCGTGTGCTGTAGCTAATCTGTCACACAACAGACATCACACAGCAAACGTAAATCATTTTTTTCTCTGGGGCCAGAGATACAATGCCAATCAGGATTTGAAGGTTTTCACCACAACTAAGATTTAAAAGTTTAACAGTGCAGGATAAATACTTTGGTTCTTTGAAGTAGGACTTACTTTTCCTCTGTATTTAACACAGATAACACCTTCTGCAAGGAAAAGTGTTCTGGTTTAAGCCCATAAATACTAAAATACTACACAGATACTTTTACATCAAAAGCAGGCTCTCGAGAAAAGAGATTACATTGGGGCTTTTTGCAAGCATTTGTTTAGGCTTCATCTTTCCTGGGAAAGAAAAGTGTTTATAAAATATTATGAAAACATAGGTGCTGAGAAACCATTACAGTCCCAAAGCACAACCAAGTAAATGAACCAGGCTTTTTAGACAATATCTTCAGAACAGACTCAACTAGTTCAATTTTTGGCAGCAATGGCAACTAAGCCATCTTGAAACTGCTGTCTGACATGCAAAGACATAGGCCGCAAAACTAGTGGAGAGAGAAGTATGGTTTATGTATTTTCTGGTACTTCTTGATCTCTTTATGTAGTTTTACTAATTATGCCACACAACCCCACTGTGAAGCAAAGCCACAATTAAGAACAGATTTTATTCTCTTCTCTTGTACAGATCTTTTAGTTAAAACTTCTTCACCCTCCATTTCAGTTTATTATGGCCAATTTCCCTTGAAACAACCCAAAGGTACAACAAAATCTCCACTTAAGTCCACAGTTACTTCCAGTGTCAAGAAGAAAGCTAGAGGCAGTGAAGGTTTTTCCAATTATTTTTTCACATGTATTTCTTGACTGACCTCAGCATTATTAGTGGGGCATTTTGTCAGAAATTTTTACATGAAGGAAATGCCAGTGGAAAATTCAGACACCTGCTAATATTGGAGACGATTTGGAAAAAAAAAACAAAACAAAAAACAACCCTCTGAGAACTAAAAAATAGTTAAAATATTTTTTGAAAAGCCAATCAATCTTCTCTATCCTACCTTAGATAAGTATCTAGACAACCAACTGCAGTAGAGATCCATGTGGAATTCACTCGTGGATCAGGGTCTTAAATATAATAGCACCTTTTCATAGATAGGAAAGGACAGGGGAGCTGAACTATACCAAGTATCAGTTTCCTTTCAATTGTTTTTGTTGTTGTTGTTCTTTTTCAGATCTATGGAAACTCAAGCTTATTTAGAAATCCTTCAGCTTTGCCTGAATAAGCACAGTGTTTTAACTAGTAGAGATGGTCAGAAGTTACTTGCAAGGGGACAGTGCACATGTTTTTTCTTAATGCTCTTACTTGCGGTCAGCCACTGAGACTTTTGTCTTTAAAAAAACAGAAATCAGATCTCAGCTGCTCACAGATGAAGTAAATCACTTCAAAAACCAAAATGAGGGGAAGCCTAATGAGCTTGAGAGTTGAAGATGACACAGCGGTTGCAACTTATTAGGAAGAATGTGGAAGAAGGTATTTTCAAAGTCGGTAGTCCACGTCTTCTTGCACAAGGCACCACTTCATGGAGCAGGAGATGGTGAACACCAACAGCAGAAAGCATGGACACCACACACGCACGTGTGCAGGGAGCATCCCAATAAGCCACCACCGCATCAGCAATTCCAGGGCCTGCAGTTCAATCTTAATTTCTAATATTCCCCTGTAACACATGGCCTTCATTAACGTGGCAGCAGTCCAAAACATACTTAGTTTAGGTGTAACTTGGCTAGGTATCTACTGGCACAGTTTTACTCCTGAACACCAGACACTGGTACTACCCAGAGAGATGTCAACTCTCCAGGAATTAAGAAGGGTAAAAAAAGACTAAATAATGTCAGAAAAAATACATTCAATAAAATATATTTGGCAGAACCATGACAGCTTTAGTTCTTCAGTTCAGTCTAAGGACAAACCAATGAATTATAAAAGTTTATGGCAAAGTACTCCAAAAAACGGTATGTTTTCCAGCTCCACTTGAAAATGTACCAACTTTCAAGCAGTGGACAGCACTCAAACTACTGCAATAATTAGAAAGCACTGAGATGTAGCCAATTACTGCCTGATTAAGTTTCTTTTCCATACAACCCTAAACCAGGTTAAATTGGAGTGTCTGTGACTTTTAGGGGTTGCTCTCTAGAAAAGGCTTACTTTTTAAAAGCCACTCAGAAACCTCCTGTGCTCGAAGTAAAGCACCACAGCAGTGCACTGTTTTAAGTTTTATTTCACACAGGATAGAGTAACCCCCTTTGCACATGCCAGTTTATTTAAGAGTGAAGAACCACTTACACAGTCCTGCAATTAATGCATGTAACCTTTTTTCTTCAAAGTTACATGACAAAGGCCAACCTAAAACTACCCCTTTCTGCCACATTCTTCCAATGTTCTGGGAGTTTTCAAAGTTCAGGGACTATGAGAAAAATGAGACAATACTGTCTTCCTTTCGATTGGTAATCTGTGCGTTAAGCATTTTGAAATATCTCTTACAGTATTTCAAATACACTAAATTACTGATACACCAGAACACATTTTAAAAAGCCTTCCTACTTCTTATGAAAAAGGAGAGTGATTTCACAGATTTTATCCATGGGATAATTTTTTTGTCTCAGGAAATGGTGTGTTCTAGCTAAAGAAAATAGGATTACTTCAACATGAAGAGGATGCAAAGGTATCTTACTGTATATACTCAGATATTTTCAGGTCGAGTGTTCACCTGAGGTGAAGTTAAATAAAACAAATTCAAGGTGAATATCCAAGCCCTCTAACTTCTGCTCTGAATAAAGCTACTGAATACCTTCTTGCAGGATTCCTGAGCTTGAGAAGAGACATCACGGACAGCGTAGCAGCTTGCCTGGAAATACTTCCAAGGGTAAGGGAGTATGGAGAGACACTGCCTTTTATTGCAACGTGAGCTGCACGTAAGCTCAGTGGCCACGCAGCAGCAGACCTGCTCTGGAGCATCACCTTTTCAATTAAGGTGAGATGTGCCATGAAGTAACATACCTCGCTCCTTCAAGGAAGGCTTCTTCCATGCAGGTGATACGAAAGACAAATGATTTTACACAGTCAGTGCTTACGTTGATAGCACACACACACACCTCCCCCCCCCGCCTTTTTTTTTTTCTTTTTTTTTAAAAAAAAAAAAAAAAAATTGCCTTTTGCTTGTACATCATATTAAATCCCTGCTGATTTAATCTTTGCCTACAGATACTGGTGTTTTCCTGACCCAGTCTGTTTGTAATAACAAATGGAACATGCTCTCTCCAGCTAAATAATGACTAATGCCTATTCAGAGTGGCTGGGCC